TAAAAGCATTAATATTATCAGTGAAGTATCTATATTAAAATCATTATCTATTGGCTAACCAAGCTCTATTAATTTAAAATTTAGAAGATGCAGAATTTTACATGTCAGGCTACTTACTAGGCTTTCAAATCAATCCAAAGAGTTTACCATTTTCCAAAAGAAAATTTAAAACTCAAGAAGTTAGAACTTTTCTTTTTTTTTTTTTTTATTTTGCCTGAGACTGGGACTTGAACTTATACCTGATGCTTTTGCTTACTGGCTAATTCTCTACCACTGAGCCATGCCTCCAACCCCAGAATTTCTTGAATGCAGATGTGAGTGTAGGGGCTGGAAATGTGGCTTGGGGGCAGAGTGCTTGCCTAGCATGCATGAAGCCCTGGGTTCCATTCCTCAGCACCACACACACAGAAAAAGCCAGAAGCAGCAGTGTGGCTCAGTGGTACAGTGCTAGCCATGAGCAAAAGAAGCTCAGGGACAGTTTCCAGGCCCCAAGTTCAAGCCCCAGGACTGGCCAAAACAAAAAACAAAAGCCAGATGTGAATGTAAAATAAACACTAGCCTACCCATTAAACCATCTTGCTAAAGGAATGATGACTTTGCTGTTCACTGAAAGTTATCCTTACCATATGTAATTGAGAGAACGAGTAGTAAGTCTTTAAGTTACTTCCCCACTCAAGAGAGAAATAAAAAAGAAAATGATCTTTACAACTGATACATTAATATCAAATCCATATATTACTCCATTTAATCTAAAATAATCTCTTACATATTATCTGGGCAATCATCTTAGATCTATGTTAACTAGCTATAATCTCTAGTGACCCTAATCCTAATGGAAAATGAGCATGTGCTTCATGTGATTTTCAAAACAATTTTAAATATTCCAGAACCATACAAGACTAAATTGGAAAAAGGGAAAACTTCTGTTGCTTTGCTTGCTTGTTTAAGGCATTAGTATTTCTTTGGCCTATATTTTCCTTTAGTAAGGCAGTTTAATTGGCAGGCTGATGTCCATTTCATATTTGTGCAAGTACCTAGAGTTAGGTTACTAACGATTAAGGTTTGGTCACCTGCAAGATAAAAAGGGCAATTGTTTTTGTTGTGGAAAGTCAAATCTGAAATTCTAGCTGTGTTTCTCTGTAGTGGTCCCCAGAACAGGTCAGCTAGCACTTCTAGACTTGATCAACATCAACAACAATCTACTGAGCATACAAAGAAAACATTATAGACTAGTTACCAGACATTTACTCTACCAGTTAAAGCATAATGCTGATTTTTAACTCCATACTACACTCCCTTTTCCAAAAGCGTCTTTATAAATTCTCTATCAGCCTATCAACAACCCAGAGACCTCATACTTTACACATTAGGTAATAAGAAAATTTTTTTTCCAGGCTCTCATACAGCAGTATCAGACTTTTCACCACATACCTAATGCTATTTTAGTGGAATAGTACACAAAACCCTTAAGATTCTCATCAAATAAGAAAACAGAAAATTGTCAACACAAAGTAGCTCATGTTAGAATGTTTCACAAACCTTCAAGAAGTCCTTACAGTACAGGAAGACATTTAGATGCTTCAAGTTTTATAAAAATCAGCCAGCCATAGAAAAACAAGTCTATAATCCAAGAACTCAGGAAGAAGAGTAGAGAATCACAAATTGTAGGCCAGCCTGGGCTACACAGCAAAACCCTGTCTTTAAAAAAAAAAAAAAAAACCGGCTGAGAATGTGGCCTACTGGTAGAGTGCTTGCCTAGCATGTATGAAGCCCTGGGTTCGATTCCTCAGTACCACATAAACAGAAAAAGCTGGAAGTGGCACTGTGGCTCAAATGGTAGAATGTGCTAGCCTTGAGCAAATGAAGCTCAGGAACAGTGCCCAGGCTCTGAGTTCAAGCCCTAAGACTAGAAAAAAAAAAAAAAAGCACTGGACACTGGTGGTTCACAACTGTAATCCTAGCTACTAAGAAGGCTGATCACCATTTGAAACCAGACTAGGCAGGAAAGCCCATGAGACTCTTATCTCCAATAAACTACTCAGAAAAAGCCAGAAAAGGCTGTGGCTCAAACTGGCAGAGCATTAGGCTTGAGCACAGAGATTCAGGGACAGCCCTGAGACTGGAGGAAAAAAAAGTGGCTTACTCCTATAATCCTAGCTACTCAGGAAGTTGAAACCTAGAGGATCAAGGTTCAAAGTCAGCTGGGACAGAAAAGTCAGAGAGACTTTCATCTTGCCCAAAGAGACTCCTTCCTCTCCCCCCCACTCCCCTACCCCCATGTTGGGTGGGGGAAGCAGGGAGCCGGGGTAGGTAAGTGGCTTGAATTCTCGGCCTGGGTGTTCTCCTTGAACTCTTCAGCTCAAGGTGAGGGCTCTACCACTTGAGCCACAGCCTACTTTCAGTTTTCTGGTGGTTAATTGGAGATAAGAGTTTTATAGACTTTCCTGCCAGGGACAGCTTTGAACCGAGATCCTCAGATCTCAGCCTCCTGAGTAGCTAGGATTATACAGGCATGAACCACCAGCACCCAGCCAAAGAGACTTTTTTAATTCAATTTCAGTTAAATGGGTACTAAAAGAATTTGCAGAGGGCTGGGAAGGCGGATCAGTGCTTGCCTTGCATGCATGAGGCCCTGGGTTCGATTCCTCAGCACCACATAAGCAAAAAGAAAAAAGCCAGAAGTGGCGCTGTGGCTCAAGTGGTAGAGCTAGCCTTGAGCTGAAGAGCTGAGGGACAGCGCCCAGGCCCAGAGTTCAGGCCCCACGACCAGACCCCCCACCCAAAAAAAAAAAAAAAGAATTTGTGGAAAGGGAAAATATCAATGAACATTCAATGAAGCTTAAGTAATTACATAACTTACAGTAAGTGTGGATACAGAACAAATACACAAGAGATTTGGTATTAGTAAATACTCAAGGGTGTGGTAGTGAATGCCTGTAACGTTGGCATCTGGGAGGATGAGACAGAATAATGGTTAGTAAAGCTTAAGTTTGAGGCCAGCATAGACTATAATACACACAGTCCCATTCCCCAAGACCCCTGAAAAGGCCTTTATAAGGAGCAGGTTCAGTCCTTCCAAGCATATTGGACTGTTTCATATTATGAGTTATAATTATGCATTAGTAGCTGAAAAAAAGTTAAAACTACCCCAAATGCAAACAAAATTAGACTATCCTGTCTTGAAATAACTACATTGTTATGAAGAAAACTGTAACACAAATGGCTTTGAGAGCCAAGACAGGCAGTCATATATGAGTGGCATGAGCAAAGTATTTTTTTCACTAAACTTAAACTTTCTTCAAGCACTCCAAACTTTCTAAGGAAAGCAGTTTTGACAAATACAGTAAAGTACAAAGAACAAAGTCTTATAGGGCATATGTCAGATTCCCATTGCATTAATAACTGCTCAACAATAACGCATGCTGATGGGGATGTGAGCAAAAAGGAACCCTAGTGCACTGTTGGTGGGAATGTAAACTAGTACAACCACTTTGAATGGCAGTTTAGAGTTTCCACAAAAAGAGAAACATAAAACATTGGGCATTTACCCAGAACATTAAAAGTCAGGATACCATAAAGACACTCGGACATCCACGTTCACTGCCACACTATTCACAATAGCCAAGTTATGGAAACAGCCCAGATGCCCTACAAAAGATCAGTGGACCATAAAAATATGGCACATATACAATATGGAATTTTACTAATCCATTATAAAGACTAATGTTGTTTGTAGGGAAACAGATGGACCAAGGACAAATCATTTTAACTGAGGTAAGCTCAGAGAGATGACATGTTTGTTCTCATAAGTGGAAGCTAGATCTAAAATACAACTAGACATGATAACCTATACAGGGTTCTATGCATTTACACAAAAACAAACAACCTAAATGAGAATACTCTTAGGGGAGGAAAACAAACATGAATCATGAAACCAAACATGAAACATCTAAAACACTATCAAAATGAATTCCAGAAGCTTTTTAAATGGCAACTTCTTACATCTACTTGAAGATAGTTTAAAAATTAAATGAATTGGCCAAGTGTCAGTGGCTCACACTTATAATTCCAGCTACTCAACTACTCAACCATGCAACTTGTGGGCAGGGATAGGAGGGGGGGTGACACTGTCCAATAAGAATTGTACTTATTACCTGACTTATGGAATTGTCACCCCTCTGTATTATTCCTTAATAAATAACAATAAAATTATATTTAAAAATAATAATTGTTCAATAAAGATTTTAAAAAGTCTACTAGATGGGACTGGTAATGTGGCTTAGTGGTACAGTGCTTGCCTAACATGCATGAAGCCCTGGGTTTGATTCCTCAGTATCAAATAAACAGAAAAGGCCAGAAGTGGCACTGTGACAAGTGGTAGAGTGCTAGTCTTGAGCAAAAAAAGCTCAGGGACAGTGCCTAGGTCCTGAGTTCAAGCCCCAGAACTGACAAAAAAAAAAAAAAGGAAAAACAAAAAAGAAATCTACTAGATTACAGAATAAACTACCATCATTAAACACACACACACACACACACACACACACACACACACACACACAGAAGCTGGGTGTAGTGACTTATTTTCTGTAATCCTAGCAAGGCTAGGATCCTAGCAAAAGCTAGGCAAGGTCAAAACCAATCTGGGTTACATAGCAAGGTTCTGGCACTTTGTCCTTATCTGTCTTTCTCTCTGCCCTATCACTTAAATGTTAAGTAACTATCATTAATTTCAGAGAGAAATACTATCATTTGTTCTAAGTTTACAACATGATCCATGTATTAGAATGTTACAGTCCTGACCCATACTACTCACGTTACCTAAATCTCTCTGGAAGTTATCATCAGTTGAAAGTGCAAATCAAAACAGTAATTTAGCTGGAAGAAAGGCAAGTGATAGAGTGCCAGCCAAACAAACCTAAGCCCTGAGTTCAAACTCAACACAGCAAAAGTAAAATAAAATAAAATTATGTAGAATTTACAGCTCAGTAAGGCTTACGTACCGGCAAGTCCACACTAACATCTGTACCATCCAGAAGGGACACCCGACAGGTGATGATGGACTTTGAATCTCCAGCTGCAGGAATGTGTGTGGCTGCTCTTTGTGCCTCTCGGAGCCGTTCCTTCTCAGCATGTTTACGCATAGACCTGCGCCCAAGAGTTCTACGCAGGAAGCTCAGCATTTTTGTCACTACACAACCAGAGAGAACAAAATGACATCAGGAAAAGGAGTTCTTCATCTTGCAGGCAGGCAAACAGTATTATTTAGTAAAGTCCTGTGCACATCAATTTAAAAAATAAATAACTAAAACTTACTACTTTTATACACATTTAAAACATGTTTTAGGGTGGGAGTGGCTCAGTGGTAGAGTGCCTGCCTAGCAAGCACGAAGCCCTGGGTTTGATTCCTCAGTATCACATACACAGAAAAAACCAGAAGTGGCACTGTGGCTCAAGTGGTAGAACGCTAGCCTTGAGCAAAAGAAGCTCAGGAACAGTGTCCATACCCAAAGTTCAAGCCCCAGCACTGACAAAAAAACAAACAAAAACACATATGATAAAAGCTGGGTGTTTATAACTTACAATATATAATTCTACCTACTTGGGAGGCTAACATCTGAGGATCGAGGTTCAAAGCAGCAGACAAATTAGAAATGTTTATCTCCAAGTAACTAGCAAAAAGCTGAAATACAAGTGGAGCCCAGCTGGTACAGAGTCTGCTTTGAACAAAAAAATCCAAGTGAGGGCAGGACCCTGAGTTCAAGTCGCAGTACCAGAATTTTCTTTTTAACACTTAATTCAAATTTTGGGAGGTGGAGGGTATAATTATGTCCTGTGAGGCCCTGGGTTCAATCCCCAGCACAGAGGTAGAGAGCAACAAGAGCCAGCCAAAGTAAGGAAGAGATTTAAAATACATATCACTCAATCATAAAATGTGAGCTATTTTGGCTCTTTGTTCAAATACACTATTTTTTTCTAGAGTTCTCAAGATGTAATCATTAGGAGAATCTAAAAGCTAAGTGAAAGACTTAACCTCTACATGAGCTAAAAATTATTTCAAAATAGTTATATATATCCCTTGTCAAAATATGGTTCATAAACAACATTCATAACTTAACCTAGATGAAATTATAAATGATTCAAAAAAACAAATATTGAACACTGTATTTTTTTTTTGGGGGTCCGGTCATGGGGCCTGAACTCTGGGCCTGGGCGCTGTCCCTCAGCTCTTCAGCTCAAGGCTAGCGCTCTACCACTTGAGCCACAGCGCCACTTCCGCGTTTTTTCTTTTTTGTTTATGTGGTGTTGAGGAATCGAACCCAGGGTCTCAGGCATGCAAGGCAAGCACTTTACCACTGAGCCAACTTCCCAGCCCCGGAACACTGTATTTTAAAGACAAATATTAAACACTTTAATTAATTAATTTAATTAATTTATTTATTTTTTGGTCAGTTGTGGGGCTTGAACTCTGGGCTTGGGCACTGTCCCTGCACTCTTCAGCTCAAGGCGAGCACTCTACCACTTGAGCCACAGCACCACTTCCGTAAACACTGTATTTTAAATTTAAATGTTTAATAATTACAAACTGATGCAATCATTATCATTCTCATTTTACAAGTATACATTCTCTGTGAAATTAGATAAATTGGCAAAGTCATTACAGTGATCAGTTGAACTGCCCCAGGAAATTATACATACACACTTGAAAACTGACTAGATTGCTCCTAATAACCAAGGAACTACGTATTCCCAACTAGATAAAATTGTGGTACTCAGGCTGAGGAGGTGGCTCAGTGGTAGAATGCTTGCCTAGCATGCATGAGGCCCTGGGTTCAATTCCTCAGTACCACATAAGCAGAAAAAGCCGGAAGTGGTACTGTGGCTCAAATGGTAGAGTGATATAGCCTTGAGCTGAAGTGCTGAGGGACAATGCCCAGGCCCAGAGTTCAGGCCCTACGACCTTCAAAAAAAAAAAAAAGTGGTATGAAGTTATGTTTTAAAAAAAGAAAAGGTTACTTATAGAAATATATACTGATATATTTATAGAAGAAATGATATGAGTATGGTATTGCGCGCGCGCGCGCACACACACACACACACACACAAAAGAGCCAGAAAAGAAATGAGAAAAATGAAAAAACATTTCTTTCACATACTGTCCTCTTTGAACAAGCGATTCAAATCAAATAGACTATTTAAATTCTTACATGTATAGCCTTTCAATCAGAATTTCTAATTCAGGAAAGATGGTCTAAAGAAATTGTTACAGACACTCTCAGTTGTTGCAATAAGGATTTTCAATGTGAACAGGACAAATTTAAATATGTTCACTGGCATGTTAAAAAAAACAAGTTACAGTACATGCAACATTATAAACACAGTTTTGAGAATATAGATGACATAGATATTACAAATTTTATTAGTGAAAAAAAATGAAATCACAGAAAAAGAAATGCAGTAGTTGGGATAGGATACATGCACTCACATACAGACTAGAAGAAGACCAAAACTACAAAAGAAAGATTTTTCTCTGGAGAGGGTCAATTCAGTTGTCTTACATGGATATGTTATTAAGGTTAGCCCCTCCCAACCCCCCACGTGATTTTTAGCCACATCTAATTCCTCCTTTAAAATCCTAACAGCACTGCCTCCTGATCCAGGTCCTTCCCATCCTAATGCTTATGGCTACCCACTCCAGCCACTTTCTCTGCTGATTCTATGCTCAACACCAGTCTTTTAAATCCCAGACCTTTTCTCATGAGCTGTTCCATCTTTCTAAAATTATCTTTTCCCACTTCACCTCTCTCCCTACCTTCTTACTAACTTTAGATTTACACACAAAGTGATTTTACCTCAGAGAAATTTGCCGAGATTCCCGAATTCATGTTCACTGGTGCCCCTCAATATTCTTAGGCTTTAGGCCAGATAAATACACTGTAATTACATACCTAAGTTGTTCTGGGTTGTTTTTCTTTTTTCCTTAACTGATAACTGCCGTAGTAGGACAAGGACAGGGACTGGTTTACTATTGTAAACAACCTACTCATTAGACACTCAATAACAGTCACACTAAAATGATACAGTGGAATTTGGGGATGATAGGTACACGATTTCAAAAAACAATGATCAGGGGCTGGGAAGGTGGCTCAGTGGTAGAGCGCATGCCTTGCATGCCAGAGGCCCTGGGTTCGATTCCTCAGCACCACATAAGCAAAAAGAAAAAAGCCGGAAGTGGCGCTGTGGCTCAAGTGGTAGAGTGCTAGCCTTGAGCCTGAAGAGCTGAGGGACAGTGCCCAGGCCCAGAGTTCAGGCCCCATGACCGGACCCAAAAAAAAAAAAAATGATCAATTCTAACTTTTCAACAATGAATCAATTTTTTTCAATAGTAAAAAGGCAAATTGAAATAAGACAAATCCATAACCTACTAGTTTGTCATGAAACGTGTATACACTCATACACTGTACATCTTTTTTTTTTCATTGTGCAATGAGAGGATCAAACCCTAAGTAGAGCCCTCCCTCCATATGCTAGGCAAGCACTCTCCTCAAGGCCACATTCCCAGACCAGCACTGCTTCCTAATACAGCATTATTGCCAATTCACAGAAAAGGCATGAAGATATCAGTATCTTTTGTCCCAGTAATTTCAATAAAGAAAACGTAACCGAGGAATTCAAAGGTAGAAAAAAATTATACCCGTTATTTCTTAATGAAGTTACCCACGGGGGGGGGGGGGGTAGGAAATCCTACCACTTATCCTTTTTTAATGTTTTATTGTGATCACGGTGATGTGCAGAGGGGTGACATTTACGTAAATCGGGTGAAGGCTACCTTTCTTTTCAACGATCTTACATACACAAATAACCCACTATAGTAAGTACGCAGAGCTCAGCAACAGGTTGGTGGTGTTACGAGTGAAGCTGACGCGGTCGTTGAGTTACACTACAGATTCAGTTGTCTTTTTTTCCTCCTAATCCTTAACACCTACAACGTAGGATCTCGGTTCGAGATACAGCGGCGCCACCGGGCAGTCCTCTCCCCTCGAAACCCAGAGCCAGGGCACCGCCGTCGGGGGGCGGGGGAGGCCCCCAGCACTCGCCACTCCCGGGAGCGCACCTGCCGCGCACCATTCCAAACCCAGGAACCTCAACTTATCCCCAACGAGCCCGGACGGTCCGCCGGCGTGTGGTTCTCAGCCCCCCCGCGGCAAACTCGAGACGCCCGGCCCCGACGTGCCCCGCCGACTGCCCCTCGCCAGCGGAACGGCTACCGCGCGGCTCGCAGGAGAGGGCGGGCCCGGTTCCGACCCGCGACGCCCGAGACCCGGGCTGCCCCGCGGGCAGGGAGCGCGGCCGCCGCGACCACCGCCAGCCGGCGGCGCCCCGGGGCCTCCGCGGCCGCGCAGTATCGCCCGAAACTCGGCCGCGCGGCCCCATTGGCCGCCGCCGCCCCTCCCTCCCACCTCCCCCATTCTCCACCTTTCCCTCGGCTGCGCTCGGCACCGCGGGCTCGGGACCCAGCCGGCCCCCGGGAGGAGGCCTCCCGCCGGGAGCGGGAGAAGAGGGGTGTCCGGCCACCCGAGGGGAGGGCGCTGGCCGCCGGGACGCGCTCTTACCTGGGCTGGGAGCCGATGGCGGGACAGCGAAAGGGACGTGGCTCTCCGGCAACCTGAGGGCAGCGGTCTGCAGCGAGGCTGAGGAGGGGGCGGCTCCCCACCAGACGCCGAGGCGCCAAGAAATGGCGGCCCGCGGTGCGCGCCCACCCTGCGCTAATCCCGGGGAGGCCCCTGGCCGCCGCCGGCCCGCCCCTTAAAACCCTTCGAGCCACGCCACGGGGCGGGGCCGTCGACCCTTAAAAGGGCAGTGGCCCCGCCCCGGAAATTAGCCGGGCCGGTCGCCGCGGGTGCAGCGGGCGACTCCCTCAGGCCGGGCCGGGAAGGAAATGCTCCCGCAGCCGAGGTCCCCGCGGAAACCCGGCCCTAGGCTGTCAGACCCCCGAACGCCCACGGGGCGCGCGCCCACAGAGCTCCGTCCCGGGAATCCGTCCCGCCCGGGGGCGGGGGGGGGGGGGGCGGCTGCCTTCGCAGGCCCGCCGAGGACCGGGAGGCCAGGCTGCTGCATCTCTTCCGAGGAGAGGTAAACTCGCCCGGTAAATATTTATTGACGAGTGCCTCCTCCCTCAGCCAGTCCCAAATCCCAGGGATTAACGTCCTCCAGCCCTGGAACCGCCTCAGCCGGGAGGAGACAGACGGTAAACAAATCCGTGTCAAGCGGCGATAAGAGTGGCGAAGAAAAACAAAGCCCGGGAGAGGGGAGCGAAGGAGCGCTCCTCGGGAAGGCCCTGGAGACCCGGAGCATTCCAGCTGCCCATTCTTTAGATAGTTTATCCCAGTGTCCACCGAGTTCTAGGCGCTGACGATAAGGCAGATAAAACAGACATCCCTTTGGGCGACCCGGCTGCTGAGGCCTGCCTGTAGTCCAGGAGTTGTCGCTCAGAAACCCGAGGCTGAGACGCTAGGATCTGGAATGCCAAGCCACTGGGCCATGGGAGCCTGATCCTGTCTTTAAAGAGAGATACTGAAAAAAAAATGAAAATAAAATAAAGAGAGATACTGCCAGGCACCGGTGGCTCACACCTGTCATCCTAGCTACTCCAGAGGCTGAGATCGGAGGATCGCGGTTCAAAGCCAGCCCGGGCAGGAGAGACCGTGAGACCCTTATCTCCAATAAACCACCAGAAAACCGGAAAGTGGCGCTGTAGCTCAAGTGGTAGAGCGCTCGCCTTGAGCTGAAGAGCTGAGGGACAGCGCCCAGGCCCAGAGTTCAAGCCCCATAGCCAACACACACACAAAAGAGAGATTATTTGAGTTTTATTTGACTTTATTATTATTTTCTTTTTGCCAGTATTAGGGGTTAGAACTCAAGACTTTTCTGAGTTGACTTTGAACCACAATCCTCAGATACCAAACTCCTGAAGACAGGTAGGATTACAGGGGTGCGCCACCAGTACTGAGAAGGCTAGAGAAGGAAGGTCACTGTCAAAAGGTAGAACTTGAGTTCTACTTAAAGCAAGTGTCATTGTGCCATTGCTGGAAAAGTAGAGGGATAGACCTGCTCAAGGAAAACTAGGCCATCCTTCTTGCCTTTGCAAATATTTCTGGGAAGGGTAAGACAAATCAATTCATGCTAAAATATTAGCCACTGATTGAATGACATTCTAGGAGAATGATGAGTAAGGGATGGCAGATGTGTAAGTGTGTAAAGACATATAGAAGGGTAACTTGAAAATCAGTCAAGTCAGAGCCAGGGAGAGTAGCTCAGTAGTAGGGCATTTGCCTAGCTTCTGCAGCACCCTGGGTTTGCAGTACCTCAAACAAAAATAACTAAATGAGAGGCTGGGAAGGTGGCTCAGTGGTAGAGTGTTTGCCTTGCATACATGAGGCCCTGGGTTCAATTCCTCAGCACCGCATAAGCAGAAAAAGCCAGAAGTGGTACTGCTCTGTCTCAAGTGGTAGAGAGCTAGCCTTGAGCTGAAGAGCTGACAGACAGCACCCAGGCCCAGAGTTCAGGCCCCATGACTGACAATAATAATAATAATAATAACGAAATGATTTCTTTTCCTAAGGCCCTTAGGCTTTCCCTACTCCTAGATGTTCAGAGCAAAAGACACAGGCAGTCATATTCCATGAATCCACATCACATGCTCCCTTGCTGTGCTATTACCTAAAACCAAGTTGGCCATAACTGGTGGCCTTTTCAGGTATACTGACAAGAAGGAAAACTTGGAAAACCCAGAAAACCTTTGATGGCTATAAGCAAGCTCATATTATTGGACAATATGGTGTTTTGCCATTAGGTTTTTGTCATTAGGTTTACCAGTGGTGAAGTCCATGAAGTGACAGAGTAAAGGCAAGAAAAAGAAAGGAGCCTCGTTCATCACACCTAGGAATTTATGTGCACAAGTTCCCTGGGGATCTTATTGAATTGGTGAGGTCTGAAGTAAGGCCTGGGGTTCTGCATCACAAGTTTGCTGTTTATACTGCTCATTAGCGAATAAGGAGGTCTTTGGAGACTGTCCCCCCACCTAATATTGCTCAGGCCTAGTTAGTAGAAAGATTAGTGTGAGTATCCTGCAGCTAACTTGCTTGGGCAAGGCTTGCTTTTTTTTGTTCTCTCTCCCATTGGTAAATGAGGTAGTCAGAACACCAGATTTTGACATCTCTTCTAGATTTATACTTCTTTTTTTTTGGGGGGGGGTCCGGTAGTGGGGCCTGAACTCTGGGCCTGGGCGCTGTCCCTCAGCTCATCAGCTCAAGGCTACCGCTCTACCACTTGAGCCACAGCACCACTTCTGGCTTTTTTCTTTTTGCTTATGTGGTGCTAAGGAATCGAACCCAGGGCCTCGAGCATGCAAGGCAAGCGCTCTACCACTGAGCCACCTTCCCAGCCCTAGATTTATACTTCTAAACCTATTGCTATGTATGAGGTTTTATTTCATTCTACATAAACTCAATAAATAACAAGATTTAGTTTAGAGCCATGGTAAAGGAAAAATTTTGTTCAAAAGACCCCTGTAAGAATCCTTCATGTCTATCCCAGGGAACCACACAGAGACAAGCAGGCACATAAGAAAGATTATTATAAGGTTTATTTGAGGGGCCATATTTCCCAGGAGAGGGAGCACAGGGCATCCGTCCTTATCCAAGTGGCAGGAGGACCTGGGGGACTGGAAGTGAGGTAGGTGCAAACTCAGGTGGGTCTGGGTGGAGAGAGGAAGTGGTCATCTGCATGACGGGAGCTCAGGTCTGGGTGGAGCTGAGGACTTACGGTGGGGATAATACTAACCCAAAACTGAAATTTTTAAAATAAATTTTTGTGTGTTGCATACCAGCACTGGAGCTAAAACTTGTCACGATTGCTTGCCTTTTTCTACCCACGGTTGGTGCTCTACTACTTGAGCCACACCTCTTATCCTGCATTTTGCTGGTTAACCAAAGATAAGAGTCAGGTGGAATTCTCTTCCCCAGGATGGCTTCAAACTTTAGTCCTCAGATCTCAGCCTCATCTCTTTCTTTCTTTCCTTCTTTCTTTCTTTCTTTCCTTCTTTCTTTCTTTCTTTCTTTCTTTCTTTCTTTCTTTCTTTCTTTCTTCCTTTAATGTCTGAGACTAAACTCAAACACAATTGCTGCTTTTGCTCACTGGCTACAGCTCAACTAACTGAGCCACATCTCCATTGGCTCTCAGCCTCTGAGTAGCTAGAATTACAGGTATAAGCCACCAGTGCCCAGCAAGAAAAAAAAATCTTTTCATATTTAAAAAAAATGCCCACTTTCTAAAATGTAATTTAGAAATACAAGTATTGGAGTAAGTTATATGGATGATTTTGAAACACATAAACTGCTATTATTTAGTATTATTCCTTTAAAAACAATTTCAAATAATACTGAATTTGGCTTTACTTTCCCTGAGACCATACCAGACCTTAAGCTCAGGCTCACGCTTTCTTGCTCATTGCTGACAGTCTACTGCTTGAACCTCACCTCCAGTGCAGGTTTGGTTTTCTCTCTGCTAATTGGAGATAGTTTTTCAACTTATATGCCAGTCTCTCGACTGACTTCAAACAGCAACTTTCTAGGTCTTAGCTTCCTGAGTACCTAGAATTGTAAACTTTTTTAGTATGTATTTTATTTCCACTTCAACCTGTTCTTTACTTCTGATTTGGGGATTTAGTTTGTTCTTGTTTTTCTTTTTTTTTGTGTGTGTGTTTTTTGGGTCCGGTCGTGGGGCCTGAACTCTGGGCCTGGGCACTGTCCCTCAGCTCTTCAGCTCAAGGCTAGCGCTCTACCACTTGAGCCACAGCACCACTTCCGGCTTTTTTCTTTTTGCTTATGTGGTGCTGAGGAATCGAACCCAGGGCCTCGAGCATGCAAGGCAAGCGCTCTACCACTGAGCCACCTTCCCAGCCCCTGTTCTTGTTTTTCTAAGTCCCTGAGACATATCATTAAATTTATTTTATATCTCTAAGGTTTTTTTTAATATACTTCTCTTTTACTACTAGCTTCACTATATCCCATATTTTGGTATTTTCTGTTTCCATTTTTTGTATGTGTGCTGGTACTGGAGTGTGAATTCAGGGCCTTCAAATCTTGATTAGCTTTTTCATTTAAGGCTGGAACTCTACCATTTGAATTTCACTTCTACTTCTGACTTTTTTGCTAGTTAATTGGAGATAAAGAGTCTCAGATTTGTTTGCCTGGGCTGGCTTCAAACCACAGTTCTCAGATCTAGCCTCTGAGGTAAGAGTATAGGTATGAGCCACTAGCACCTGACACTTTCCTTCTCCCCCTCCCCCTCTCCCTTCTCTTCTTCCTCCTCCTCTTTCTCATTCTTTTTTTTTTTTGGGGGGTGGGGGTGTGGGGTCCAGTCCTGGGCCTGAACTCTGGGCCTGGGCGATGTCCCTCAGCTCTTCAGCTCAAGGCTAGCACTCTACCACTTGAGCCACAGCGCCACTTCCAGCTTTTTTCTTTTTGCTTATGTGGTGCTGAGGAATCGAACCCAGGGCCTCATGCATGCAAGGCAAGCGCTCTGCCACTGAGCCACCTTCCCAGTCCCCTCTTTCTTATTCTTGTGTAGTTATTGGCAGTACTGGAGTTTGAACTCAGGACCTCCTGTATGTTCAGTTGGGGCTTTACCACTTGGGCTATAGCCTTTTTCCTTTAATGTTTTTTTTCCCTGGTGGGTGGGGCTTGAACTCTGGGCCTGGGCAATGTCCCTCAGCTCTTCAGCTCAAGGCAAGTACTC